AAATTAAAACCACAATGAAATACCACTACACACTTATTAATATGGCTAAAATTAAAAAGACTGACCATACGAAGTGTTTGTGAGGGTGTGGAGCAATCAGAACTCATAATGCCAGTGGGAATGTAAAATAGTGCAATCACTTTGGTAATTTCTTAAAAATATAAACCTACACTGAACATGTGACTCAGCCATTCCACTCCTACTAATTTACCTAGGAGAAATGAAAACATATGTCCACAAGACTGGGTCACAAATATTCACAGCAAGTTTAGTTCTAATAGCTATGAATGAGTAAACTAATTGTGATATATCCCTAGAATGGAATACTACCCGGCAATAAAAGGAATGAACTCCGATGTTTGTAACTGATGCATGATACATGGATGAATCTCAAAATGATTATTCTGAATGAAAGAAGTCAGATAAAAAGACTACCACTTTATGATTTGATTTATATTAAATTCTGGAAAATATATATTAATCTATAGTGCCAGAAAGCAGGTGATGGTGGCCTGGGGTCTGGGGGTGGATGGGAGGTGTGGTAAGGAGAGATTAAAAAGGGCATAAGGGAAGTTTTGGAGGTCATGGATATCTTTGTTATTTTGTCTGCGGTGATGGTTTCATGGGTGTATACAAATGTCAAAATTCATCAAATTGTCCACTTTTTACTTTGTGTCAATGATACTTCAGTAAAGCTGTAAACATAATGCATGACATAAATAGGTATATGAATGGAATTTGTTTTTGCTCTAATATACAAACCAAATTTACATTCATTTTACGTATTTGGCTCTTGCCATGTTCGTGGTTGGTTTTTGGCATTAGATAGAAAAAATATTTCCCGTATTTGTTGATATGTCTTCAGTAAATATGTGGTGGTTTGACCCCCAGTGTGAGGCACAGTAGAAGATGTCTCTGGCCATGACACTGAGGAATGATCCAGATAGTCACTCAATCATTTCTAAGGTTTATAATACTTGGTGTATTTAAATGCCTACCTTTTGGGTTATCCTGTGGAAATCTTCAACCCCATTTAAGATGTGAGATACACAGGGCATATAAAGACATTTTTAAATCTTTGGCATTACATTTTCAGTTGAGAGTTGAAAAGGTTAGAATACAGGTCAGGTCAGTGTGGTGGGGTATATACAAGACAACCAGTGTTGTGGGGAAACTTGTTCATGTTCGAGTTTTTAGTTTTATTTTAACCAAACTTCAAAGGATCGGTTGAAGGAAATGGAATTGACTGTGGCCTATGATGTCAACTACGTATTCTACATTTTTCCATGCCATGACACAATGGGGAACCCAAGGCAATAAAGAATGTTTTAAGACTTTTGACTTCTGGCCTTCTCACTGATCTTGATTGGAATGTGCATTGGTACAACCTTTTGTTGTACTCATTTGTCAATGTGTGTAGAAATGTTAAAACATCTAGGATTTTATCCTAAGGAGAGAGTTGGGCAAGCTTTCAAAGATGTAAGTACAAAAATGTTAATAGTCTCAAATTACATTGGGTCCATTGGACCAAATTGGAAATAAACTAATTGTGTACTTATGTCTAAATTATGATATATCCAATCAATAAAATACTAAGCAGTCGTGAAAGGATGATGTGTATTGGCTTTCTCTGATGTGGAAAGATACCTACAGTACATTGAAAGAAACAGGCCATCATGTAACATGAACCATTTATGCACATATATATTTGCTTATACGTGCATATGCATAGAGAGAAGTCTGGAGAGATGGGTGCTGAAATATTAGAAAGCGTGATTTCTGAGTGGTGAGATTGAGATAATTTCTGCTTTCCTTTTTATTCTTTCTCTGCATTTGATTTTCTAAAACAACAAAAATTTTGAATTATTTTTTCTTTCTGAACTCTAGAGTCTTTCCAAAGAGCTCAAAATCTGAGAGCTGGAGATGACTCTTGAGGTCTCTTCCACTCATTCTTTCTATTGCTGTTTCCTCCTCAGTGAGTTCATGCAGTAAGTCAAGGTTCAGGTTCTTCTCACCTGCAGCCTTCCTGCGGCTACAGAAAGTCTCTCCTTACCTTCACGCTGCAGATGAGTCCCTTCCATCTCCTAATATCCACTTCATTTTGACTGTACTGATTCTAAAGGCAGACATAGCTTCAACTTCTGACACCCACAAAGTCACAGTACACAGACAACATTTTGCACGTTGGTGTTTTCTGGAAGCTATATCATACTGTAAGATCAGGTAAGATTTCCTGTCCACTGTTACCACATAGCTTTCTGGTCAGTGCTATATCCTGCTGGGCCAACTGTCTCTGTGACTTCCTTCCTTTATTTCTAACCTTTCCTATAGTTTTTGTATTTCAGTCTGTGAAAACTAGAAGTTGCCCTGCTGAGAGTGGTCATTACAGTTATCCCACACCTCACAGTGTCCATTTACCTCCCTATTGCTTCCTCCAGGCTCTGAGCGGTGTTGAAGGCACCAACTGAGGGTCTAGCATAGTGCCTGGCATATGAGAGACTTTATAATTTTATTTATTTATTTTTTTCCCCCAAAGCCCCAGTAGATAGTTGTGTGTCATAGTTGCACATCCTTCTAGTTGCTGTATGTGGGACGCGGCCTCAGCATGGCCGGACAAGCGGTGTGTCGGTGCACGCCCGGTACCCGAACCCCGGCCGCCAGCAGCGGAGTGCAAGCACTCAACCGCTAAGCCACGAGGCCGGCCCAGAGAGACTTTAAATAATTGTTGAGCAACTAGAATTGAATGGTCTGTACTGATCTGTGTGATAACAAAATTTCACAAGGACTATGATGAGAGCCATTTTGATGTGGGCTATTTGGCCTGAGCCTTAAGCCTGAGGGTTCCTGAAATTTTGTCTGCCTTTCAGTGACATGGGCAGGGAGTAGGGTGAGGCTTGATCATGTGCAGGTGCCCAACAAATATTGGTTCTTGCCTCTCCATTTGATTTATTATTATTATTTTTTACATTTCTTAGTGACTTTCTCTTTAGATGAATATATAAGCTAGATTGATACACCACAGAACAGTTGAGAATAAATGTCAATTTTTAAAGAGAATCCCAAAATAGACTACTTACCCTGAGATCTTGGTCAAGGTCACACCCTTGAAACTTCTTCTTTTTTCTCTTCCCACTGCTTGCCCCACCATAGCTAGTTCCTCCCCATCTCCCATCCAGAGACACAACAGTCTCTATGGCCATCATCTGTCAGCTTCGGTACATTCTCCATATCAGATTGGAGTTCCTAAAACTCAGCACCAGTCTTGTCACTTCTCTGCTCAGAAACCATCCATGTTCCCCCATCAGCTACAGAATCATTTTTTTAAAGACCCCATAATACTATCCTACACCTACTTTTCTGAAAGTTGGTTTCCAAACTACCTTTCCAGCACCCTACGTGATTCATGTGTGCTTTAAAATATTGTATTCTAGACCTCTTTTCCTACCTCCACCCTTCCCTAAAACGCCTTCCATCCCATTTCCATGTAACCAAATCTTACCCACTCTTTAAGTCCCAGCTCAAATACCACCTCCTCTAAGCCTTCTTAGAAGGCTTGAAATCACCTTAGAATCTTCCCAGGCCTTAGCACAGTGTTTGAATAGATAGTAGGTATTCACTACATTTTTATAAACATTTTTTAAATTACAAAAATAATATGCACACAAATAAAACATTTAAACAGTAAAAAAAAGTTATCAAATGAAAAGAATGAATCCACAACCCTTTTCCTAACTCACTCCATCTAAATTCCCAGCTGTAACCACTATTATAAGTTTCTTGTATACCTTCTAGAAATTTTATACGAATATACAAGGATATAGGTATCTTTTTTTTTTTTTACACAAATGGAATCAAACTTTGCATCTTGCCTTTTTCACACAACAATAGATCTTAGAGGTTTTTCACACCATACATAGATTTGCCCAATCTTGTTAATGCCAATTTGCACATACTGTGGAGTCATAACTACAAGATAGATTTTTATTAGTGAAATTTGAGGTCAAGGGTTATATCCATGTATATTATGTTTTGGCCACATTACCATCCAAAGAGGCTGCATTAGCGTGTGCAAGGCTGTCTGCTTCCCAGCACTCTAACTACCTCTGAGTATTTTCATAGTTTTAATTCTTGCCCATTGAATAGGCAAAAATGGTATGTCATCATTCTTTTAATTTGTACTCATAGCTCCCTAATTCTAAGAAGCACTGAAGTGCATCCATAGAGAAATTTGAGTTTTAATTCCTATAACAGGTAGAAGAAAAAGTTCAGTGTTCTCTGCAAAGAGGAGGATACTTAAAGATAGTGGATTCCCGCTGATATGTGTTCCGAATTGCTTTCTAAACTGGGCTAAACAAACATGGTAGCTCTGACACTCTGGCCTGGAATTTCATACTGAACTCAGACCTTTGGAAATGCCAGATGAATTTTAACACAAGCAAGTCATTTGAGAACTCCAGGTCTCTGTTTCTCATCTAGAAAATGGGGACTGCTTATGCTTGCCTTGACAGATGACAAGAAGGATGAAAGGAAATGATGTGTGTGAAGCCCTTTACAAATCTAACAAAATTTGAAATATAATAAGTATTTTAAGTATTGCAAGTGGAGCCAGCAGAATACATGTAAAAACGTGTTCTCTCAAGCTGAAATTTCATAAAAGGTCCCTAGCCTTTTCCATACGGTTATATTTCCAAATAAAGTGACTTCTACTGGAAAGGACCTTTCTCACATGGCTACCTTCTCTGCATTTCCCCTCACCTCCCATGCTTCCTGCAGCCCTTCCTTTCACCACCACTGTCCCCCACTTTGGCTGTTCCAGAGAGTCTGCTCCTGTGGCATTTGTACCAGGGAGAGAAGCACAGCTGGAGAAGCTTAGACAGACACATTCCTTCCAACCTCTCCTTGCAGTGTCCAGCTATTTCTCACCCTGCTCATTAGGACTTTGGTTATCATTACTACATTCAATACAAAGTTTCAAATGCATGGAAGATGAGGCTACTCACGAGACACAGAGGCACAGGACTCCTGGAAGAGACTCACTGTCTCTTAACAGAAAGTTGCCATCCACCCCTTCCTTGAGCAGCAAGGTCTCACAGTCTCTCTTGGACAGAGGCCCGTGGTAATAAGGCAGATCCATGGAGAGCCCTCTCGTATCCCTGAAATCCAGTGGGCGACGGCCTTGAGAAGGGAAGTGGAGGCAGCTGGCCTAATGGGGCCCGCTGTGGTACCTCTTTCTCCTCTGATTGGTAGCAATGAGATGAAGTTGTTCTGTGGGACTCCACCAATTTCGCAAGATTCAGGAAATGAGAAGGGTGGGGGTGATAAAGTGACCAAGGCTTTTCAGCCTATAAGTGGCTCAAGTGTGACTCACAGAAGTGGCTGAGAGCATGTTTGATTACACAACAGAATCAGTGATGTGCGGGGATGGGGCTGCAATGCTGAAGTCAAGCTCCCCGGCACTGGGTTGGAGCCTTGTATATCACCCTAAATCACCAGTTTTCCCCTTCTCTCTGGCTACTGGTGTCCCTTCCAGAGAGCACACCACTGTTTCTGCTATAATAGGTGCCCATTTTCTGCTGAAGCTGCCTGTGATTATGCTATGCTTAGCTCAGAACAGGTGCTCAAAAGTGTTTGGATGCTGAATGAATCCAGATATGTCTAGACACGATGGGACAATTGAAAAGGTAATATTTCCATGGGTCAAATGACGTGAAAAATGGCAGATGTCAATGGAAACAGAAAGCAATTGGACACCATAGCAGAGAACAGCCCATTCCCTGGCTAAAGCTGCTAGCCACTGGTAAACAAAGGCCATTTTTAACATTCTCTGGCACTGTGCCTTTTGGGGAAGGAGGTGGTGCAGGTGGGAGGGATTATCTGGGTATACAAAGTTAGTGCAAGGATGCTTCTCTGGGTGGAAGAAAAGAGGATATTAGGCTTGGGTTTGAAGACCTTCAGGTCCTTTGAAGTTCCCGTTCTGGAGGACAGCAGTGATGTGTCCCCATGAAGAGAGACCAAGAAAAGTCTATCTAGTCAGAGATACTTGGCCCCCTTTGGACAATCTGATGTTGATGAGAAAATTCCTTTGTTTTCCTGCTGAGCCTTTTCCACTTTGATCAACTGACATTCTTGGGAAAGGTGGTTTCTGTTATCCGAGGGTCAGAGTTAACCTTAAGAGTAATTTCCAAGGCCTGTTTTTCCCCAACTTTATTGAGATTCACATATAACACTGTGTAAGTTTAAGGTGTACAGCGTGTTGATTTGATACACTTATACGTTATAAAATGATTATCACCATAGCAGTAGCTACCATCTCCACCTTGTCCCATAAATACCATTTCTTTTTTGTGGTGAGAACATTTAAGATCTACTCTCTTAGAAACTTTCAAGTATATAAGACAGTATTATTAACTATCATCAGTATGCTGTACATTAGATACCCAGAACTTATTCATCTACTAACTAAAAGTTTGTGCCCTTTGACCAACGTCTCACTATTTCCTCCAAGGCCTTTTTAAGCAACAAAACCATCCTACACATTATCAATTAATTAATTTTTAATTAATTAATTTCAGATAGAAGAAGTCATGCAAGCATATCTAGCATCCAATGTTTTAAAATGGATTACATTTACTAACTCTCACAATTAACATCACGCAATGTCAGTTGGTATAAACTGCATGTGAATTTCTCCCTATTCAACTGCCTTATCCAAATATCTATAGGAATTGCTACATATCTCAAATATATATCTATAAAGATAGAACCATGTGCTCATGAATCATCCTTACTTCTCTTAATGCTTTCTTAACCCAGATGATTATTTCATCTTGCTGCTTTGTTTACGAGCTGCCCACCCACTCTTGGGGATCTGTCTTGCGAACTTCTTAGTAGGAGATTTTCGTTCCTCCTTGGAAGTTCCACTGCTCCAGGGTTGGTGTAATGTGGTGTAATGGAGTGACACTAATCAAGGAACTTGTCATCAGAGAAATGTGCTTTCAAATCCTGATTTCTCTTGTGTAGCCTTGGGCAATTCACCATTTAACTTCCTGGGAATTATGACAGTTCAGGAGAGAATTTTTACTGATGAAAGAGGAAATTGGCTACCAAGCTTGATGCAAGGATATTTTTTTTTAAATAAGGGAGGAAATAATTGGATGCATGTTCAAGATCTTTAGCATCACAGGGTCTTTAATGCCTTTTTTTCCTGTGTCAAAACCCAATGCCCTCATCCTTGCTCAACATAAGAAAAACGCAAATTAAATACATACTGAGATAACATCTCCCACCTATCATATTGGTGCAAATCAAAAGTTTGAAAACATACTGGGTTGGTCATGCTGGGGTGAAATAGAATAAAATCTCATACATTGTTGGCTGGAATATGAAATGGTTACAACTACAATGGAGGAGAGTTTGGCGATATCTAGCAAATTTGTATAGGCATTTACCCTCTGATAGAACCATCTCAATTCTATTTTGTACTAAATAATTCAGGCAAAGATAGTCAGTGGGTGAAAACTTTAGGGAAATGTTTGATAATGGTCTTTACAAGGGAGAGATCATGCTGTCACCACCTAAACCCACTGACCAATCTTAGCACATCTAAGAGTGGGACAACCAGATATTGAATGCCTACTAATTTGATGCAGCAGGAAACACACAGCACCACTGTGGAGTGTACTTTCAAAAAAAGTTGAACTTGGGGCCAGCCCCTTGGCTTAGTGGTTCAGTCCAGTGTGCTCCACTTTGGTGGCCCAGGTTCATGCGTTCGGATTCCAGGAGCAGACCTACACCACTTGTCAGCCATGCTGTGGCGGCGACCCGCATACAAGATAGAGGAATATTGGCACAGATGTTAGGTCAGGGTAGATCTTCCTCAAGCAAAAAAAGAGGAAGATTGGCAACAGATGCTAGCTCAGAGTGAGTCTTCCTCACCAAAAAAAAAAAAAGTTGAACTTGAAATGAATCAAGCCCTTATAACTAACTTCTATTCATGGGACCTTCATGAGGAAGCAGACAAACAAATCCTATGTGGGACATTGACTAGGACAACAGATGTAGTTTCCTCATATGTCAATGTCATAAAAACTGAGTCATATAGTAGGGTGAGGACTGCTCTAGGTTAAAAGAGATTTATGAGGCATAAAACAAATGCAACATGAGGATCTTGTATGGATTCTGGTTTGAAAAAATCAGCTACAAAAAAATTTCCTGCCATTGAGGAAATTTAAATATTGACTAGACAGTAGATGATACCAAGGAATTATTGTTGATTTTGTTAGGTGTAGTAATGGCATTGTGCTTCTGTGAGTAAATAGCCATAGCTGGGTGATGGTGTATGAGGGTCTTTATATTAATGTCTCTATTTTTGTATGTGTTGAACATTTTTCACACTAAAAAACCCTTCCATTCTCATGTTATTCTGATCCCATATCACCTTTGAGAATAGTTGCACAGTACATATTAACATCTTTAATTTCTCACATGGATCCCCTTTCTCTCATCCATAGAAATCAAAGCCTAGTGCCGTGTTTGTAGAACATGACCCTATCCCTCTAGCCATGGTTGATTGGACCAAGGGTAGGCCCCTGACCCAAGATGGGCTAATCAGACACACTTACCAAGGAATTTGGAGGGAATGAAAAAAGGAAGAAAGAGAGAGGTGCAGGGGATTGGAGGGAGGGAGGAAATAAGAATGGAAATGAGTTTTCTAGGAATAGCTGTATAACAGGTACATTGTTGTGCTGTGAACTGGTGGCCATATCCCACCCAGCGGCCAGAATAAGAGAGAAAACTGGTCCACACAATGAAGAACAAAGTAGACTCATGGAGAGAAGCAGAGTCAAGAGAAAGTCCTACTAAGGCAGCCTACTGAATGGGAGAAAATATTTGCAAATCATATATCTGATAAGAGATTAATATCCAAATTATAAAGAATTCATACAACTCAATAGCAAAAAAGCAAATAATCCAATTTAAAAATGGACAAAGGACTTGAATACACATTTTTGCGAAGAAGATGTACGAATGGCCAAGAGGTACATGAAAAGATGCTCAACATCACTAATCACTAGGGAAATGCAACTCAAAACCAAATGAGATATCACCTCACACTGGTTGGAATGGCTATCATCAAAAAGACAAAAGATAGCAAATTCTGGCAAGGATGTGGAGAAAAGGGAACCCTTGTGCACTGTTGGTGGGATTATAAATTGGTGCAGCCACTATGGAAAACAGTATGGAGGTTCTTTAGAAATTAAAAATAGAACTACCATATGATCCAGCAATTCCCCTTCTCAGTATATATCGGAAGGAAATGAAATTACTATGATGAAGAGATATATGCGCCCTCATGTTCACTGGAGCATTATTTACAATAGCCAAGACATGGAAACAACCTAACTATCCATCAACAGATGAAGGGGTAAAGAGGATGTGGTGTATATATACAGTGGAATATTATTCAATCATGAGAAAGAAAGAAACTGTCCCTTCCCTTGTTGGGGTGGTGTTGCATCTGGATGGGATGCCTGGACCTTCGGCAATCATTGTGGGATCAAAAGAGCTAGGCTGCCTGCTGAGAAGGGCAAAGTGGGGAAAGAGAGAAAGAATCTGGGTCCTTGTCAATGGCATTGAGCTGCTTTACCAACTGCCCTAGGAGCCCATCTCTCCTGTGGACTTCCAGTGGAGCGGGAGAATAAATTTCCTGCCTGGTTAAGCTATTTGATTAGGGTTGATTAGCACAAAGAATCTTAATGGATACACTGACATATGGCATTGATTTTTTTTTATTAGTTCCAATACTATCTTCATTGATAGTGGTTTTTTCTTAAATGTAATTACTTAGCTATTAATAGTGTGTAGCAGTTTCCACAACAATGTTGAAATCCCACTACTTTTAGATTTTCCCATACTTTGACTATCAGCTTTCCTAAAGTCCCTCTACCATAGATTGATTATCTCTCATTTTTCCTCTCCTCATTCCTCAAATAAATTTTTTTTTTTTGTGAGGAAGATCAGCCCTGAGCTAACATCCGTGCTAATCCTCCTCTTTTTGCTGAGGAAGACCGGCTCTGAGCTAACATCTATTGCCTAATCCTCCTCCTTTTTTTTTTACCCCAAAGCCCCCCAGTAGATAGTTGTACATCATAGTGACAC